GGCAATAAATAAGTACATATCAATAATAACCTTAAATGTAAATGGATTAAATGCTCCAATCAAAAGACACAGAGTAGCTGAATGGATAAGAAAGCATGGCTCATATATATGTTGTTTACAAGAGATCCACCTCACAACAAAAGACTTATATAGATTGAAAGTATAGGGATGGAGAAATTTTTTCCAAGCAATGGAAAGGGAAAAAAAGCTGGGGTAGCAATATTCATATCTGATACAATAGAGTTCAAAATAAAGGCTATAACTAGAGACAAAGAAGGCCACTACATAATATTGAAAGGATCTCTCCAACAGGAGGATATAACCTTGGTGAACATATATGTAAACCAATATGGGAGCACCAAAATATATTCTAAAACTTCTGGAGGACTTCAAAGGAGAAATCAACAGCAATACATTCATAGCAGGGAACTTCAACACACTGCTGACATCACTGGATAGATCCTCTAGATGAAAAATTAACAAGGAAGCAGAGACTCTAATTGATGCACTAGAGCAAATGGATTTAATAGATATCTGCAGGGAATTTTACCCCAAACTGAAGAATTTACATTTCTCAAGTGCACATGGGACATTCTCAAAGATAGACCACATATTAGGACACAAACTAAGTTTCTACAAGTTCAAGAAGATTGAAATCATATGAAACACATCTTCTCAGATCACATGGCATGAAATTAGAAATTGGTTACAATAAAAACACTCAGAAATATTCAAACACATAGAAGCTAAATAGCATGTTATTAAACAATGAATGGGTTACCAAGGCGATCAAGGAAGAAATAATGAAAGAAATAATGGAAGAAGTAATGGAAGTCAATGAACATGAACACACAATAACACAAAATCTATGGGACACAGCGAAAGCAGTCCTGAGAGGTAAGTTCATAGCACTATCGGCCTACCTCAAGAAACAAGAAAAATTTCTCGTAGACTACCTAACCCTACAACTTAAAGAACTAGAAAGTAAACAAAAGGAAAAACCCAGAGCAAGTAGAAAGAAAGAACTAGTAAAGGTCAGAGCAGAAATAAACAACATAGAGACTAAAAAACAATTTGAAAGGTCAATGAAACTAAGAGCTGGTCCTTTGAAAAGATAAATGAGATTGATGACCCTTTAACCAGATTCACCAAGAAACAGAGAGGACCCAAATAAAGTCAGAAACGAAAAAGGAGATGTAACAACTGATACACAAGAAATACAAAGGAATGTTAAAAAAAATACTATGAACAATTATACGCCAACAAATTGGACATTCTAGATGAAATGGACAAATTTCTAAAATCACAGTCTCCCAAAACTGAACCAGGAAGAGACAGAAAACTCGAACAGACCAATAACAACAAAGGAAATTGAAGATGTAATCAATAAACTCCCAGCAAACAAAAGCCCAGGTCCAGATGGCTTCATGGGGGAGTTTCACTGAACGTTGAAAGAAGAACTAATACCCATTCTCCTCAAACTATTCCAAAAAAATTCGAGAAGAAGGAAGACTTCCAAACTCGTTTTATGAGGCCAGCATAATTCTAATTCCAAAACCAGATAAAGACACTACAAAGAAAGAAAACTACAGGCCAATATTCCTGATGAACATAGATGCCAAAATCCTTAACAAAATATTAGCAAATCCGATCCAGCAATACAATAAAAAATGTATTCACCATGACCAAGTGGGATTCATCCGAACAATGCCAGGCTGCTACAATATTCACAAATCAATAAATGTGATAAACCACATAAACAAAATGAATGATAAAAACCATATGATCATACCAATAGATGCTGAAAACGCATTTAACAAAATCCAGCACCCGTTTCTGATAAAAATGCTCAGCAGTGTGGGAATAGTGACCATATCTTGACATAATAAAGGCCATACATGGAAAACCTACAGCCAACATCATACTCAGTGGGCAAAAACTAAAAGCATTTCCCTTAAGAAGAGGAACAAGACAGGGATGCCCACTTTCACCACTCTTATTTAACCTAGTACTAGAAGTCTTAGCCACAGCAATTAGAAAAGAAGAAAAAATAAAAGGGATCCAAATCGGAAAGGAAGAATTGAAACTGCCATTATTCACCGATGACATGATATTGTACATAGAAAATCCTAAAGACTCCATCAGAAATCTACTAGAGCTAATAAATGAATTAGGAAAAATATCAGGATACAAAATTAACATTCAGAAATCGATTGCATTCTTATACACCTATAAGGAACACTCAGAAAGGGAAACAAACAAACAGAAATTCCATTTACCATTGCAACAAAAGTAAAATAAAATACCTAGGAATAAACTTAACCAAGGAGGTAAGAGATCTGTTGTCAGAAAACTATAGGACATTGAAAAAAGAAATAGAGGAAGATATAAAAAATTGGAAACATATATCATGTTTCATGGATCGGAAAAATCAACATCATTAAAATGTCCATATTATACAAAGCAATCTATAAATTCAATGCAATCGCTATTAAAGTACCAATAGCATATTTCACAGATCTAGAACAAATACTCCAGAAACTTATATGGAACTATAAAAGACCCTGAATAGCCACAGCAATCTTGACAAAGAACCAAGTTGGAAGGATGAAAATACCAGATATCAAGTTATACTACAAAGCCATTGTAATCAAAACAGCCTGGTACTGGCACCAGAACAGACATATAGATCAATGGAACAGAATAGAGAACCCAGAAATAACCCCAAATCACAATTACGCACAATTAATATTCGACAATGGAGGTAAGAGCATACAATGGAGAAAAGACAATCTCTTCACTAAATGATGCTGGAAAAATTGAATAGCTATATGCAAAAAAGTGAAACTAGACTACCAACTTACACCATACACAAGAATAAACTCAAAATGGATAAAGACTTAAATGTAACCCATGAAACCATAAAAGTCCCAGAAGAAAATATAGGCAGAAAAATCTCAGACATCATATGTAGTGGAATTTTCACTGATACATTGCCTAGGGCAAGAGAAACAAAGGAAAAATTAATAAATGGCACTACATAAAACTAAAAAGCTTCTGCATGGCAAAAGAAACCAGCATCAAAATGAAAAGGGAGCCCACTCTCTGGGAGAACATTTGCCATTGATACATTGGATAAGGGGTTAATATCGAAAATATATAGAATACTCACACAATTCAACAAAAGGAAAACAAACAATTATAAAATGGGCAGAAGACCTTAATAGACACTTCTCCAAATAAAACATACAAATGGACAGGAAACATATGAAAAAAATGCTCAACTTCTCTAATCATCAGAGAGATGCAAATTAAAACAACTATTAAGTGTACTCTAGCACACTGCTGATGGGAATGCAGACTGATGTAGCCACTATGGAAAACAATATCATGTTTCCTCAAAAAATTAAAAATTGAACTGCCATTTGACTCAGTGATCTCACTTCTTGGAATATATCCTAAGAAACCTGAAACACCAATCAGGAAGAATATGTGCACCCCTATGTTCATAGCAGCAATATTTACAATAGCTAACATCTGGAAACAGCCCATATATCCATCAGTAGATGAGTTGATTAAAAGCTGTGGTCCATTTACACAATGGAATACTATGCAGCGGTAAGAAAGAGAGATCCCTTACTTTTTTTTTTTTATATAAGTTCTTTTTAACGATCTTTTTTTCTTTATTGATTTTAGAGAGAGGAAGGGAGAGAGAGAGAGAGAGAAACATCGATGAAAGAGAACATCAATTGGCTGTATCTTGCATGCCCCCCACTGGGGATTTGGCCTATAATCTGAGCATGTGCCCTGACTGGGAATTGAACTGGCGACCTCTTGGTGCATAGGTTAACCACTGAGCCACACTGGCTTGGCGAGATCTACTTTTTGAGATGACATGGAGGGACCTGGAGAGTATTATGCTAAGCAAAATAAGCCAGTCAGAGAAAAATAAGTACCACATGATCTCACTTATTTGTGGAACATCATGAACAAAATAAGCTGTCGACCAAAGAGGTCCAGAATCATGGAAGTAGGGAATAGACTGACAAACCTCAGAGGGATTGGGAGTGGGAGGGGTGGGAAGAGATAAACCAAAGAATTTATATGCATATTTGCACAACCAATCCACAGGGACGTTAGGCTGGGGGAGGCAGGAAGAGGGTGGGAGCGGGAGGAAGGCTGTCAATGGGCCAAAAGGGGGACATCTGTAATACTTTCAACAATAAAAAAAAAGTTTCATATAATTCATGAAATATTGTTATTCTTTTGATTTTGATTTTTTCAACCTCCTAACCATTTAAAAATGTAAAAACCCCTGATGAGAGTGGGGAGGATCACTTTATAGGTTATATAAATGTCTAATTACTATGTTGTATACCTGAAACTAATGTAATATTGAATGTGAACTATAATTGAAAAATGAAAAATAAATTTTAAATGTAAAAACCGTCCTTAGCTCTCCATCCCCACAAAAACAAGTGGAAGCCAGATTTAGTTCACAGGTCATAGTTTGCCCAACCCTGGCTTAGACCAACATTTTCTTTCATCTGAAATACATTATTAGTCTTCTATTTTTCTAGAGACCACAGCAATGAGTCCTGTGTAATATCTGTCATTTTATAGAACCTTGATAAGCATTAATTACTATTGATTTGACATTAATTGATTCAAGCAATTCTTTTTTAACATAGAGTTAATAAAGAGGTCTCCTGGTAAGATTTTTGAAATAACATATAATTAAGCAATATTTAATTGAAACTTTAGAACTTTTGAAAGTTGTTATAGTATATATTAAGTAAAATTAATATTCTTGTACAAATTTAAAATGAGTATTATAAAATTAGAATTTATCTCTAATTATTTTTGGAAAGACATGGTATATATACAATAAGGCTTTTCTTTCGCGTTTATGAGTCAAGCTCAAAGTGAATATGAGAAAAAAGTAAATATGAGCAGAACTATGTAATCTTTACTAAAATGAGAACTTAATTGTTTTTCAGGTTAAACTACAGAGCAACATATCATATCAGATGGCAGACATACATCATTTAAAGGGTAAGAAACTTAATTACAGATTAAAGATAAAGGTCACTAAATGTCTAAAATCCTCAAGTATTTAAACTAGTAAAACAGCTAAATGAAATAAAGTTTTGAACAAAGCTCCTGTGATAGCAAAGCATTTATCTTTTTGTCCTAAAATGCAAGGCACATTTTTAAATATTGCTTTATATATAATAAATGCAAGTTAAAATTTGAGGTCAGCATTTTAATCTCATGCTGTAGATAGAGTTCATGCAACAAAATGTTGTTAAAAGAGTCCTCAAAGAAAATTGAACTATGGCTTCAGAGGCCATTATATTTCTGGGAAAGGTAAGGGGTGCTCCCTCTACGTGACCAATTTGCTAAAATAATCCATAATCCATTCAGGTCTAGGGATGCTTTGGACAGGTCCTTCAAGCTTAATGTTTTAAGTACCCTGAAAACAGAAAGAAACCTGGGAAGATCTCTCTCTCTCTCTCTCTCTCTCTCTCTCTATATATATATATATATATATATATATATGATGACTAAAGCTTTTATGGGAAATAATAGGTAAGGAGAAGAAGCTTTGTGCTTTCTTGACACTACTTCACATCACTGCCTTTTGGAGATTGGGGTGTGAGGATCACCTATTTACTCTCTCACACCCTTTGGTTATAATACTTTATATTTTAACAGTTTGCATGTGGTGACTAAGTTTATATATGTGGGTAATACATGCTCTCTAACTTCATAAATTTATTTTCATTCTATAACCATTTTGAACCTCTTTAGATAGAATTAGATAATATATTTTTTATTTTTATTTATTTTTTATTCTCACCTGAGGACGTTTTTGCATTTATCTTCAGATAGAGTGGGAGGGAGAGAGGGTGGGAGAGAGAGAGAAACATCGATGTGAGAAAGGCACATCGAGTGGTTGCCACCCACAAGACCCCAAATGGGGCTGGGGACAAACCGCAACCGAGGTACACCCCGTTAGTGGGAACTGAACCCGGGTCTCTCTGAACCGCAGGCTGACGCTCTAACCGCGGAGCCAAACCGGCCAGGGATGTAATTTATTGAAGTTTTGCTTTCACCTAGCAAAACCTTTTAAAGTGTTATTGTGTGTTGTAACCCCAAAATAGGAATTAAGTTTTTTACTGTTCGTGATTTAGAACAGCTTTGATTTTCTATTATAAATTTGCTTCTTGGGTGACCATATTTATTTTTGTTGCATTTGTGTCCATGTTCTGCCCTTTTTGACTCACAGGAGTGCATGAGAATGACACAAAAGATGCCACACTATCAGTGTTGCTTCCAGCTTGCAATTTTTATTTATTTATTTTTAATGTTTTTAGTTGATTTTAGAAAGAAAAGAAAGGAGAGAGAAAGAAAGAGAAACATTGATTTGTGTACTTATTATGCATTCATTGGTTGATTTTTGTTTTTTGCTTTGTTTTATTAATCCACCTGAGGATATTTTTCCATTGATTTTTAGAGAGAGTGGAAAGTAGTGTGGGGTGTGGGAGAAACACTGATGTAAAAGAGACATATTGATTGGTTGACTCTTGTATGTACCCTGACCAGGGATCAAACACACAACACATTTCAATCAGTTGAAAGTAAAATTATGATATAGGAACATTTTGTCTTTAGCTTTGCTTTTTGTTCTGTTTACTTTCTCTTTTCAAGCCTTCATTTTGACCACTCAAAACACTAAATTATTTCTCTGCTTTAAAGTCTTTGGCCCATATTCAAACAGGAAAATATCTGGTATTTTGCATGGACTAAAACTCAATAATGATATTTTATTTTTCTTTGTCAGTTGTATTTTAATCTCCATTTAGAAATGAAAACTTTATTTCCTGATAAAGGAATTTCAAATATTGTTAGAAGCTTTGTGGAGAGGCAGAGAAGCCATCTTTAATCTTGAAATCATACTAAAGCCTCAGGTTGATTCTGAAGGTAAAGTTAGCTTACTTCAATTATTTTACTGTATAGGAAAAAGAAGCCTTAATGAGTCCTAAAGATCACCAATTGAAGTCCGTTCCCTAATAGATGCTAACTGGCCAACTCTGTAAGCTATAAGGCTTTTTGTCACTGCCACCTGCTGAGACCTTATTGTCTCTGCTGAATCAACATCCCTAGCTGAAGCCAGAGTTTCTGCTGTCTCCATCCCTCTGTTTTTTAGAAGCTGGGGCCAGGGATCAGAAAATTAGCTGAATGTATTATTCAGGGACACCTGGCCATACACCTGAAGTGGGCGTAATAGGTGAAAAACTATAGCGATCAACCATGTTTACATATTAGAGAATTAATGAGTAAGAAGAGAAATTTAAAATGTGGCTTGACCGAACTCATAGGAATAGAGACTAGAATGGTGGTTACGAGGGGTTGGGGATGAGATGGAGAGGGAGAATGAGGAGATGTTGGTCAAAGTGTACGAACTCTCAGTTATAAGATAAATAAGTTTTGGGAATCTAACATACAGTGTGGTGATTATAGTTAACAATACTTTTTTACATACTTGAAAGTTGCTAAGAGATTAGATCTTAAATGTTCTCACATAAAGTAATGGTCATTATGTGAGATGATAGAGGTATTAGCTAATGCTACTGTGGTAATCATTTCACAGTATATAAGTGAATCAAACCAACATGCTGTATACCTTAAACTTACACAATGTTGTATCTCAACTAAATTTTTAAAAAATAAAACAAAAAATGTGGCTCGAATATGTAAACATATTTATTAAATACAAGCATTTTATGTGAATAATTCACTTTTCATACCTGATTATTATGTTATGCAATAGCTATTATGCATATTGTTAAATTATTATTTTTATACCTCAGAAAATATTCATGTAACTTCAAAATTTCTATTTGTTGTCATTGCTAAATATAATCACTAGTAGCACTTTGATATATTTTTATTTTAGTCTATTTTTTACATTATATTTCTATGTAACTATAAATATATGTTTACACCTGTGCTTTTTTATTGTTGACACTATTACTCATGTCCCCCATTTACCCATCTCTACCCAGCCCCTACCCCCCCATTTCTCTAGCCATTACCACACTGTTGTCTGTGTCCATAGGCTATGCATATACACCCAATTTTTTAAAAAAATTTTTTTTCCTTTATTGATTTTAGAGAGAGAGAAAGGAAGAGGGAAAGAGAGATAGAAACATCGATGAGAGAGAACATGAACTGGCTGCCTCCTGCATGTCCCCCACTGGGGATACAGCCCACTGGGCATGTGTCCTGACCGGGAATTGAACCAGCGACCTCTTGGTGCAAGGGTCGATGCTCAACCACTGAGCCACACCGGCTGGACTACACCCAATTTTTAAAAAAATTTTTTCTTTGTTGATTTTAGAGAGAGAGAAAGGAAGAAGGAGAGACAGATAGAAACCTTGATGGAGAAAACATCGATTGGCTGCCTCCTGCATGTCCCCCCACTGGGGGTTTGGCCCACAACCTGGGCATGTACCTTGACCCGGAATTGGACCAACGACCTTTTGGTACATGGGTTGATGCTCAACCACTGAGCCACACTGGCTGGGCTATACACCTGATTTTTAAAAACTTATATTCCAAGCATTTTTGGAGTGCTTTAAAGTACTAAGACTAATTCTGTAAGCCGTCATGAAAGGTAGATTTTGTTTTTATACCTATAATATTGATACATTATGGGTAGACATTATATTTTAGTCTTAATAGATGTTTCTTATACAGACTAGACCTCTGTTCTCATTTGGAAAAATTGTCTTTCTGAACTACTATTTTTGCTTAACTGCTAAGACTGTTAGCTAATTTTTTTAGTCATCTAAGAAAACGACATTTCTTTTCTCTGGCTGAATTTCTTTTAGTTGTAGGTCAGGGGAAGAGAAAACAGCTCTAGAAAATGTGGGGCCACTATTATGGATAAATGTTTACAAAAAAGCATCTGGCCCAGCTTTTCATTTACTTCCCAGCTCAGAATTTCATATCATTCATTATAACTTAACCTTTTCGCCCTAGTCCAGAAATTATGAGTTTTGAAAATGGATTTTGGTATATGTGGACATAGCATCAGTAACAGAACTAGAAATGAGATCTAAAGTGATTAGCACCTAAGTTGGGAGTCAAATAGGATTTAAAGTGAAAAAGAAAACTTGAATTCTATACCTATATTAAGCATATCTGAAAAAAAATTTTCCCCACCTACTTTTACTTATTTATTTGTTTGTTTGTTTGTTTGTTTATTCAATGTTTTTTGTTTGTTTGTTTGTTTTTATCCTCACCCGAGGACATTTTTCGATATTTTGTTCAGATAGAGTGGGAGGAAGAGATACAGAGAGAGAGAGAGAAACATCGATGTGAAAGGGACACATCGAGTGGTTGCCACCCACACGACCCAACCAGGGCCGGGGACAAACTGCAACCGAGGTACGTGCCCTTAGCGGGAACCGAACCCGGGTCTCTCAGGACCGCAGGCCAATGCTCTAACCGCTGAGCCAAACCGGCCAGGGCTATTTAATGTTTTAAATTGATCTTAGAGAGAAGAAGGGAGGAAACGTGAGAGAGAAACATTGATTGATTGCCTCCCGCAGACTCCTCACCAGGGATGGAACTTGAAACTTAAGTATGTGCCCTGACTGGGAATTGAACCCACCACTTTTTGGTACACAGGACAATACTCTAATGAACTGAGCCACACTGGCCAGGGTTTCCTGCCTACTTTTATAAAGCAGATAGGTTTAAAGAGGTAGGTAGGTGTTTTTTTTTGTTTGTTTTCACAGCTTATATGTCTACATAATGTGAAAAGATGGGTAATTTTTAAATATTTCTGATTGATGTGAAAGTCCCTGAGGCTATCTTGTTTTAAAAATAAATTTTAGCCTTGGCCTGTTTGGCTCAGCGATTAGAGCGTGGGCCTGTGGTCCAGAGAGACCCAGGTTTGGTTCCCACTAAGGGCATGTACCTCGGTTGCAGTTTTTCCCCGGCTCTGGTTGGGTCGTGTGGGTGGCAACCACTCGATGTGTCCCTTTCATGTTGATGTTTCTCTCTCTCTCTCTCTCTCTCTCTCTCTCCCTCTCCCTCCCTCCCACTCTATCTGAACGAAATATCGAAAAATGTCCTCGAGTGAGGATTAAAAAAATTTTTTTTAAATTTGCCCATGCATGTGTTATAAAAGGCTATTAAAAGGGGTACTAATTATATAATTTAACTGAATAAAGAAATTGAGAAGTATATATAATTTTTTAAAATCCCATAACCTCTCACTAGGAAGCATTAAAGTGAGTAAACTTTATTCCTTTGATTCTTACCTTTTGTGGCTAGAGCAACTTGCTGAGCTTCGTCAGGAGTTTCTTCGACAAGAAGACCAGCTTCAGGACTATAGGAAGAATAATACTTACCTAGTGAAGAGGTTAGAATATGAGAGGTAAGGTGCTACATGCAACAAATATTTATGAATCTGGAATATCTGTCCAACTTTTGAACAATTCATTTTTTCCTTTCTGGCTTGTTTTTCTTCTCTTTCGGTTTTCTTTGGTCACCTAAATTCATTTTCTATTGTCTTTCTAATGCCTCTTGAAGTCTGTACACTTTTATTTTTATATGTTTCACACCATGAAAATATCTCTTACAAGGCATGTTGTGTCTGCCTATATAAGTAAGACAGAAAACCTTGCCTGAGTTTTATTGAATAAGATGTGGCAAAGATTGAAAGATTAACAATCTCTGATTCTGCCCTGGCCGTTTTGGCTCAGTGGTTGGAGCGTAGTCCTGTGGACTAAAGAGTTTCAGGTTTGATTCCGATCAAGAGCACATAACCTCGGTTGCTGTTCGATCCCCGGCCCTGGGTGGGGTCTGTGGGAAGCACCAGTCTGTGTGTCTTTCTCACATTGATGTTTCTGTCTCCTCTCCCTCCTCCCACTCTATCTGAAAATCAATGCAAAAATGTCCTCTGGTGAGGATTAAAAAAAAAAATCTGTTATTCTCTTCAAGGGACTTCCAGATGAAGACAGCAGAGATGTCCTCAGAATAGCTGAGGACTGAGTGCCCCCTGCTTCTGTTCTTTACTTCAGACCTCTTGCTTACACTGCTACACTAAATTGGTGATGAGGTTGGGGAACCTCTCAGAGGCTTTTCTAGCAATAACTCTTTAAAAACTTTATTGTGTTTTTTTTTTTTTTTTTTTAATCCTCACCCGAGGATATTTTTCCATTTTTTGTACAGATAGAGTGGGAGGGAGGGAGAGGAAGGGAGAGACAGACAGAAACATCGACGTGAAGGGACACATCGAGTGGAGGCCACCCGCACGACCAACCAGGGCCGGGGACAAACTGCAACCGAAGTACGTGCCCTTAGCGGGAACCGAACCCGGGTCTCTCCAGACCGCAGGCCGACGCTCTAACCGCTGAGCCAAACTGGCCAGGGCTGTGTTTTAATCAATTTTACAGTAAAAGGTATTTTTTGGTTTGCATACCAAAAATTAGAAAGATTTACCATATTTTATTTTAAGTTTCTTTATTGTTGAAATTATTACAGATGTCCCTCCCTTTTCCCCATTGACGCCCTCCTCCCCACTCCCTCCCCAAAATTCATCATATTTTATTTTATTTTTATTATTATTTTTTTTTATTGATTTTTAGAGAGAGAGGAAGGGAGAGGGAGAGAGAGATAGAAACATTGATGGAGAGAACATCATTTGGCTGCCTGCTGCATGCCCCCCACTGGGGATTTAGCCCACAACCTGGGCATGTGCCCTGACCGAGAATCGAACTGGTGACCTCTTGGTGCATAGGTCAATGATCAGCCACTGAGCCACAGCAGCCAGGCAGATTCATTATATTTTAAAGTACCATTTATCCATTTCTGACTTCTTTTGTAGGTTATCAACATGCATCTACTTAGATATATGTATTTGAACCTAACAGTATTCAGTAATTTCCCATATACCTATAGGATTAAAGATATTTAAAGGTAATATATTATTTCAGCCTATAAATGGGCCAAAGATTATTTAATCTCTCCCAATTGCTGAACCATTATAGTAGCTCTCCTTTTTTTACTATTATGTCTATCAGGTATAAAACTCTTTATGCAAAAAAGGATTTTCCCCCTCTTATGATATATTTCACTGGTATATATTCTCAAATACAGAGTTCCTGAGATAGAATGTTTTTCTGCTTTTGTTGCTCATTTCACATATATGAAAGATTGCTTTCTAACATGATTGTACTAATTTGTAATCAAAATGTTTCCCCAATACCCCACCAACATTGGCTTTCACAATTCTAACTTAGTTTTGCAAATGTAGGAATAAAGTAATACCATAAATACATACAAGACATTTAATTTTCAATGTAATGGTGAAAGTTAACATTTGTCTTTATATTAACTATTTGTTTCTTTTTGCATGAACAATCTATTTGTATCCTTTGACTACTGTGCAGTGGAAATTCACAGTCTTTATCTGTTTTGCTCCTTTACATTTTTGTCTTGATGGTTCCAGTCTATCTTATTTGTTAGTTTCTTCTATTCTTGCTCTTCTTATGGTTTAGACATTTATTATTTTTGTTAAATACTAACTATTGGATGAGTCACATGCTGCCACTCCTATTAACTCTCATAATTCTATTTTTTTCTCATCTATTACTATATTTTGGTCTCACAGTTTTCTCCTTTATAGTGTTCTTCTGTGATTAAAGTTGGCTTTGAAAATTTCTTATATAAATGCAATTTTAAAAATAAACTTTTATTTTTCTAATTTTTTAAAAATTAGCTTTATCAGTACTTTGTATCCTCCCTTAGAGATTCAAATATTTTAAGAATATTGACTGTGAGCTATGTTTATGTCTGCTCTTTGTCCACTCTCCTCTTAACTGAATACTTCATCTTTGTAATGTAAGTTTTCAAATTTTAGACTTTGAGAATCTAATCCAAGATAATGTAGTCTTAAAAAATGACTTTGTAATTTAGTTTTCAGTGTGGACAACAAATCAAGGAATTAAGAGCACAGCATGAAGAAAATATTAAAAAGTTAGCAGACCAGTTTTTGCAGGAACAAAAGGTAAATTTAAAACAATACTTAAATCTAAATATGTTCTTGTTATAAATATTGTAATTTAGAAATTAAAATATGTACTTTTGTCATAAAACATTGTATTTTTAAGTATTCTAGCCTGCCTTATTCTAAAAATGACTTGCAGTGGCTTTATTGCTGAGTAAATTAGATATTTGCAAAAACTTTACCATAACTCTTAAAACTAATTTTAAGTTAAATATCTTCTATCTGATTTATTTTTTTCATCCTCACCCGAGGATATGCTTATTGACTTTAGAGAGAGGGAAAGGAAGAGAGATAAACATCGATGTGAGAGGGTAACATTGATTGATTGCCTTCGCTCGAGCCCCAACTGACTTGGGTTTGAACCTGCAACCTAGGTGTATGTGCCCTGACTGGGAATGGAACCCAAAACTTTCTGGATCATACCAGCCAGTGCTACCTGACTTTTTAAAATAGTTTTTAAAAAAGAATAGTTTACTGATTTTTAGAGAGGAAGGGAGAAGAGAGAAACAACGATGTGAGAATGTAACATTGATTGGCTGCCTCCTGCATGCCCCTACCAGGGACTGAGCCTGCAGCCTGGGCATGTGTCCCGATAGGGAATCAAACCTGCATCCCCTTGGTGCACAGGATGATGCCCAACCGAGTCACATTGGCCAGGACTAAAAATAATTTTTGCTGTTAATATATTTTTAATACATTTTGCTGTTAATAAATGTAAAGTGGAAAACATTTTACTGAAAAATCAATTACTTCCCTTTTTTTTAATCTAAGGCTATTTTTCCATTAATTTTTAGATAAAGAGGTGGGAGCGGGAGAGAAAGAAACATTGATGTGAGAGACACACATTGATTGGTTGCCCCCCGCGTGACCTGGACTGGGGCTGTGGGTCAAACCTGACACCCTTGATTGGAAATCGAACCTGTGATTCTTTTTCCTCAGGCCCACGTTCTAACCACTGAGCAAACTGGCCAGGGCCATTTTTTTCTGTATTTCATTTTTTGAATCTACAAAGTGGAATAGCTGGTGCCTTTCTGCAGTCCACCTTGAAGAGATGTGAGGATAGATTGCTGGAAATGGCAGGACTTAGAAAACTATGGCATAGAACAAGCAGAAGGTCTTATTGAGACACTGGATAGTTAGAGGAGCATAGTAGAACACAAAAGGAAGGGGAAGAGAAGTTGCTGTTGTATTTGTGGTATTACAAGCCCATATAATTAATACAATAAGCCCTGGCCAGTGTGGCTCAGTTGGTTGGGTGTTGTCCTATGCACCAAAAGGTTGCTTGTTCAATTCCTGATCAGGGCCCATTCCCAGGTTGCAGGCTAGATCCCCAGGTAGAGGGCATGCAGCAGGTGGAGGATTGATGTTTCTCTCTCACATCAATGTCTCTCTTTCTCTCTCCCCACCCCCTTCTCTCTTTCTTCCTCTCTCTCTCAAAATCAACAATAAAAAAAAAAACAACTTAAAAAAACAACAGTGGGATAATTTGTTCTCTTCTATTCTTACAAAAAGTACAGATGAGAGCTTTTCCCTTTTTCCAGGCAAGTGTAGTTCTCTCTCTGCTCTGCTATACTGGGCTATTTTTATGTTGTTAATTGACTAACATACTGTTCAATAATTATTTACTATTATCTTGCCCTAAATGGAACAGGTGGGGAAGAGGAAGATACTTAGAGAACTCCTCTCTAGGGTAACAAACACATCAGCCCTTACACTTTTGACCAGCTACCTAATTCTACTCCGCACCTATTTCCCCCTGATCTTCAACTACTATAACAAGTGAAATTTGAGTTGTTTTTTTTCATTGGAACAAATTCAATGTAAGCTATATGAAACAAGCATAAGTTGTATTCAGGGATTTTTTTTTTTTTTTTTATCATCCTCACCCGAGGATATTTTTCCATTTTTTGTACAGAGAGAATGGGAGGGAGAGAGAAGAAGGGAGAGAGAGTGAGAAACATCGACGTGAAGGGACACATCGAGTGGCTGCCACCCGCACGACCAACCAGGGCCGGGGACAAACTGCAACCGAAGTACATGCCCTTAGCGGGAACCGAACCCGGGTCTCTCCGGACCGCAGGCCAACGCTCTAACCGCTAAGCCAAACTGGCCAGGGCCAGGGATTTTTTTAACCAAGTAATTTAGAAACTAGTCACAAGAAGGAGCAAACTAAATCCAACCTGCTTCCTGTTTTCATACTATCCATGGGCTAACAATGGTTATTACGTTTAAAAATGGTTGAAAAATCAAAAGAATATTTTGTGATGGCAAAATTGTAAGAAATTCACATTTTCGTGGCTATAAATACATCTTTTGGGATTTAGTCACACTTACTTGTTTACTGCTTGCATGCTACAAAGGAAGAGAAATTGTTGTAGACCAGAGGAGACTAAGAAGACCTGAGGACTTATATACAATGTAGTATCCTAGATTGGATCCTGGAACAGAAAAAGGACTTAATGGAAAAAGTGGTGAAATCTAGATAAAGTCTGGAGTTTGGTTAATAGTATACTAATGTTAATTTTGTAGTTTTGCAAATGTGCCATGCTAATATCAGATGTTAACATTTAAGGAAATAGAGTGAGGGTTAATTACTTTTCTGTGAAGTTAAAATGATTTCAGAATAAAAAGGTTATATAAAAACAATTAGGAGCCCCGCTAGTGTGGCTCAGTGATTGAGTGTTGACCCATGCACTAAGAGGTTGCTGGTTTGATTCCTGGTCAGGACACATGCCCAGGTTGTGGGCCAGATCCCCAGTGTGGGGCATGCATGAGGCGGGCAGTCAATGTTCTCTCTCATCAATGTTTCTCTCTCTCTCCCTCTCCCTTCCTTTCTCTCTAAAAATCAATTTAAAAAAACAAAACAGAAAAACAGTTAGGTGCCTCTTTACCAAATCATCAACATTGCACTTAGAAAACACTCTTATTAAGAATATTTAATATGCCCTGGCCAGTTTGGCTCAGCGGTTAAAGCGTCGGCCTGCGGTCCGGAGAGACCCGGGTTCAGTTCCCGCTAAGGGCATGTACTTCGGTTGCAGTTTGTCCCCGGCCCTGGTTGGTTGTGCGGGTGGCAGCCACTCGATGTGTCCCTTCACGTCGATGTTTCTCTCTCTCTCTCCCTTCCTCTCTCTCCCTCCCACTCTATCTGTACAAAAAAATGGAAAAATATCCTCGGGTGAGGATAAAAAAAAAAAAAAAAGAATATTTAATATTATTCATTCTCTGAAAGATATAGTCATTAAACACATTAAAGGGAAATCTTTGCCCTGGTTAGTTTGGCTCAGCAGTTAGAGCACTGGCCCGCAGACTAGAGAGTCCCGGGTTTGGTTCCCGCTAAGGGTACATACCTTGGTTGTGGTTCGTCCCCGGCCCCGGTTGGGGTTGTGCGGGTGGCAGTCAGTCGATGTGTCCCTCTCACGTCGATGTTTCTCTCTCTCTCTCTCTTCCTCCTTCTCTCCATCCCGCTCTATCTGAAGATAAATGCAAAAAAAAAAAAAAAAAAAAAAAATCCTTGGGTGAGGATAAAATAAATAAATAAAGGGACATCTTTGTTAACTATTTTAAATGGAAAAGTATTTTTGAACAGTAGTTTGTTGACTTTTAAGTTTTGTTTGATATTGTTTGTTTTATCCACATCTGCAAAGCAGTGGAATACTATAAAAATAGCCCATGCTATAGCATTATAGCAAAAATATGCAGATATGCAGGGTAGCTGCTCAGGTTGTGTGCCTCATTGATTTTCTCACCCTTGTCCTTCATACTGACATGTAGAGAAATTTCAGTTTATCATCTTACTCATCAAGAATTAAACTCTGAGATTTGGCTGTTGCTTACCAAGTTCCAAGAAAATGTGGGAGTGAGAAAGACTGTTGTTTGAACTCTTTCTGTACAATTTTCTAGCTTTGTAACCTTGGACAAGCTACTTAATTTCTTTAAGTCTCAGTTTCGTTTTTCTTCAAACTGTTTATTTACCTCTGCTAGAGGATACATTTGAAAGCAATTTGTAAACTGTGAAGCACAGTACAAATGTTTGTTTTAAATTTTATCTACCAAGTACACTGGCATTGTCAGAATACCTTTTTTCTTTATGTTGACAGATTCTTACAGTTTGGCTTTTGTAGTTCTAGATTTCCTGTATACTTTTTAGTGCTATTGTTTTTTGTAACATTACTTAATGATTATATTTGCATAGTGCTCTAGAGTTGATAAACCATGTATAAATGAGTTAAATATTAAGTGTAAGGACCTATATGGCAACCCAAGCATATCTACTTGACTCTTTGTCTCTCCCAATTTTCCACTGAGGAAACTCAACCAATATAAAAGAGAAAATTGGCCCACTAAAAGATTTGAGTCAGGCCCTGGCCGGTTTGGCTCAGCGGTTAGAGCGTCCGCCTGCGGTCCGGAGAGGCCCGGGTTTGGTTCCCGCTAAGGGCATGTACCTCGGTTGCAGTTTGTCCCTGGCCCTGGTTGGTCGTGCAGGTGGCAGCCACTCGATGTGTCCCTTTCACATCGATGTTTCCCTCTCTCTCTCTTCCTCTCTCTCCCTCCTACTCTGTCTATACAAAAAATGGAAAAATGTCCTCAGATGAGGATTAAAAAAAATAAAATAAAATAATAATAATAATAATAAAAACAGGCAAAGGGCCTGAATAGACATTCAAAAAAAAAAAGATTTGAGTCAGACCCTGGCCAGTTTTGCTCAGCGGTTACAGCGTTGGCCTATGGTCCAGAGAGACCCAGGTTCGGTTCCCGCTAAGGGCACGTGCCTTGGTTGCAGTTTGTCCCCTGCCCTGTATGGGTGGTGCAGGTGGCAATCACTCAATGTGTCCCTTTCACGTTGATGTTTCTCTCTCTCTCCCTCCCACTCTATCTGAACAAAAAATGGAAAAGTATCCTTGGGTGAGGATGAAAAAAAAAAAAGATTTGAGTCAGGCCTAATCATATACCTGAAGATTCGAGTTTCCAAGGAGATGATATGCTTAGGAGCAGATTGGAAATACACTAACCTGGTGTATTATTGTGCTATTACTTCTTGTGCTTTGTTGGTCAGTGCACCTGGGAAGAAATTGGTTTGTTTACCACCCGTTCTGTTTCTGTTTGGGGAAAGCTTGACAATGTCAATAGCCATTTATAACACTTGAGGGAGCACCTGTATGCCAACCTCCTGCTTTCTGCCATCCTGCTGGATTACAACATTTGTCTATAAAGAACCCAACCCTGCCCACAGCACTCAGGACAATGCCCAACTGTAGGCCTCTACCATAACCTACAGTGCTCAGCAAGATTCTCTTCTTGCAGAATCACTCCCTTAGGATAGCCACGGAGAATTACCTTTATCCAATATTTTAGGCTATTCACTGTAAGTAGAGACTTTAAAATGTGTTGGTTATTCTTTGGCTTCATATCAGGTATAAAAACTGAACAGAAAATAATATTATATCCCACATCTCTAAGTGTTTGAAATTTGGACCCATGGTATATGTTTCAGAAAGTGAACTGCTAGCAGTTATGTCAATGATTTAACATTTTGAACTGAAAAACATTTACTGTTACTACATCTTTGTCTAACAGCAAGAAGCCCACAAGTTTGAATTAAAAGGTGCAAATGACCTGAGAATAAACAATCATGCAGTACCTAAAAATGTTCCAGAAGTAGCTGAGAATGCTGAAAATAAGAATGAAGAGCCTTCAAGCAACCATATTCCACATAGGAAAGGTATTACAGTAATTTTGTGTTAATAGGATACTGAATTTTCTTATTTTGAGGTGAACATTTTCAATCATAAAGAATATAGTTTGATTTTAGTTCAGTTATGATTAGGTGTCGGTATTGTTTCAAATTTAGATCCTTTGATCGAGAAAAACAATGTTATTTTACAATTATAACTATGTCCAAAAGATACAAAGATATTTAGTCAGTGTAGCTTATTGCTATGGAAACTGCTACCTTCCTTCAAAACAATTTCAATTTATGTAAGGAAAAATATAGAATTATGTCTTTTGTTACTTGGGCAGAACAAATCAAGCCAGGTGGTGATGCAGGAATGCCTGGAATAGAAGAGAATGACCTTGCAAAAGTTGAAGACCTTACCACTGGTAAGTGAAAGTTAGTAGAGTATTTAACTCTGTTGAAGCAATCACATTATTTTTCACGTTATCCTATTCTCTTTTTGAGTAACACTTGAAAAAATTCACAGATATCTGTATGATTGATATTTCCAGTTAATTAACTACCCATTAATTGTCAGGACTTTTTGGATATAATTTTATGAAAAATTTTGCTGAAGTGTATAAAGTACTTGTTTTTGTCTTGATAAAAATCAGTCATATTTGAACCTTTTCTTTTTGACTCAGAGTTATTATTCATGACAGTTATGCTATGTTAGAGCCATTTCTGTTTACTAAAAGTATATATGGCTCATTTCATTCATACTAAATTTTCCCAGATTGCTGTGTTGTTGGTATGCTTTATTTAATATGGCATACTAATTCCCTTACATAGGTTTTTAGGATTTGGCTTGTCCTTTAAGTTAATTACCTCAAATTTTAGTTTATTCACTGTTTTTTCTTTTATGGTCACTTCTGCTCAGTGTATATCTCTTTCTTCATTAATGTGTCTGTTTCTTATCCATTTCCATTTGAAGTCTGTGTCACTGTTGCTTTCCTAATTCCATTCAGTTTTTTTTTTTCATGTCTATGTTTTTCTTGCCATTTCTATATTTCTTGGCTATCATAGGTATCCCTTCCTGCCAACTCCAATTTATTTTGGTAGAAAATCGGAAGTAATGGCAGGTCTGTGGTTATTCTTAGCTGTTTTTATTCCTATCAATCTTGGTGATTACTTCTGTGGTTACAGCTTATTGTATATGGCTGAAGTTGCTGAGTGTTTGAGGTCCAATTGAAGTAGTATTAGTCCTTCCATTTGTTATCATCTCAAATTCTTTCATGTCTATATTCTTTTGGGCTCCAAGTTACAGTATATTCCCCTAAGAATAAGGACAAGAGCAATAGCATGAGTTTAAAAATATGGAGTTAGAATAAACATAATTTGTTTGTAAGGCAATGAAGTTATCTAGTGATTCTTTTTTTCTTTTTTTGTAATCCTTACTGGAGGATATTATTTCCATTGATTTTTAGAGAGAGTGGTAGAGAAGGGGGAAGGGGAGAAAGAGAAAGGAAATGGGGGTGAGAGGGGAAGAGAAACAATTATCAATGGGAGACACATTGATTGGTTGCTTCCCACACACCCTTACTGGTCCGGGATCAAACCTGCAACCCAGATACGTGCCCTTGACCCCTTGTCCGGGAATCAAACCCGTGACCCTCTGGTGCGCAGGCCAATGCTCTAACCATTGAGCCATGCTAGCCAGGGCAATCTAATAATTCTTAAAGTGTGTTCCTTGGACGAGCAGTATCAGTATTACCCAGGAACTTTTTAAAAATACAAATTCTTGGGATGAGCCCAGCAATGTGTGTTTTAACAACTCAACTCTACAAGTAATTTTGGTCTGTGCTAAAGTTTTAAAACCACTAGTTAGATGTTGAGAGAAAAGACCATATATTCTTTTCAGTTTCTGTGGCACTTACTCTATTCCTAGACTTACTGAATTTTAAACCAATTAATCTCTTTTATATTGCCCTTATTTAGTTTTACTTTTTTTTAATGAAACAATATTATTTATTAGTTTGTTGTTTTTTTTAGATTTTTTTAGATTTTTTATTAATTTATTTTTGTTACAGAGGTTTCTCCTTTTTTTCCCCATTGACACCCTCCTCCCCATCCCCCTCACCTTGTCCCCAGCTTTGTTGTCCTTGTCCATCAGTTATGCGTACATGCATATAAGTTCTGTGGTTTATCTCTTCCTCCGCTAACCCCTCTTCTGAGGATTGCCACTCTCTACCCTACTTCCATGTCTCTGGGTCTACCCTGTTCCTCAGACTGTTATGTTCATTATATTCCACAAATAAGTGAGATCACGTGATACTTGTCTTTCTCTATTTAACGCTTAGGATAATACTTTCCAAGTCCCTCCATGTCATCTCAAAGGATAAAACATCTTTGTTTCTTACAGCTGCATAGTACTCCATTGTGTATATGTACCAAAGCTTTTTTATCCATTCGTCTACGGGTGGACACTTGGGTTGTTTCTGGATCTTAGCTATTGTAAATAGTGTTGCTACAAACATGGGGGTACATATATTCTTTCTGATTGGTGTTTCAGGCTTCTTAGGGTATATTCCTAGAAGTGGGATCACTGGGTCGAATGGCAATACAATTTTTAATTTTTTGAGGTAAAATCATAGTGTTTTCCATAGAGGCTGCACCAGTCTGCTTTCCCACCAGCAATGTACTAGAGTCCACTTTCCTCCAAACCCTCGCCAACACTTGTTGTTTGATGATTTGTTGATGGCAGCCATTCTGACAGGTGTGAGGTGATACCTCATTGTTGTTTTAAATTTGCATCTTTCTGATAATTAGTGATGTTGAGCATTTCTTCATGTGTCTCTTAGCCATTTGTATGTCCTGTTTGGAGAGGTGTCTATTTAGTCCCGCTGCCCATATTTTAATTGGGTTCTCTGTCTTCCTTTTGCTGAGTTGTATGAGTACTCTATGTATTTTGGAAATTAATCCCTTATCTGATGTATCATTGGCAGTAATGCTCTCCCATACAGTGGATTCCCTTACCATTTTGATGGTTGTTTCTTTCGCTGTGCAGAAGCTTCTTAGTTTGATGTACTCCCATTTGTTCATTTTTGGTTGTTGTTTCTGTTGCCTTAGGTAATGTATCAGTTAAAATTCTGCCGCATATGATCTCTAAAATTTTGTTGCCTACATTTTCTTTTAGGATTTTTATGGGTTCACAGGTCAAATTTAAGTCTTTTATCCATTTTGAGTTTATTCTTGTGTATGGTGTAAGTTGATAGTCTAGTTTCCTTTTTTTATTTGCATGTAGCCATCCAATTTTCCCAAGACCATTTATTTAAGAGGCTGTCTTTACTCCATTGTATGTTCTTGCCACATTTGTCAAATATTAATTGAACATAATATCTTGAGTCCATTTCTGGGTTCTCTGTTCTGTTCCACTTGTCTATATGCCTGTTCTTGTGCCAGTACCAGGCTGTTTTGATTATAGTAGATTTGTAGTATAACCTGATATCTGGTATTGTGATTCCACCTACTTTGTCCTTCTTTTTCAAGATTGCTGTGCCTATTCAGGGTCTTTTTTGGTTCCATATGAACTTTTGAAGTATTTGTTCTAGTTCTTTGAAATATGCCATTGGTATTGATGGGGATTGCATTCAATTTATAGATTGCTTTGGGAATATGGACATTTTAATGATGTTAATTCTTCCAATCCCTGAACAAGGAATGTTCTTGCCCTTTTTTATATCTTTCTCTATTTCTTTTTTTAATGTCCTATAGTTTTCTGCAAATACGTCCTTTACGTCTTTGGTTAAGTTTATTCCTAGGTATCTTAATTTTTTTGCTGCGATGGTAAATGGGATTGTTTTTTTATTTTTATTTTTTTTAATTTTTTATCTTTATTGTTGAATGTATTACAGATGTTCCTCATTTTTCCCCCATTGACCCCTTCCTTCCCACTCCCACCCCCTCCTGCCTTTTCCCATACTGTTGTCTGTGTCCATTAGTTATGCGTATAAGTTGTTTGGTTTATTTCTTCCCACCCCCCAACACCCTTCTCTTTGAGGTCTGTTAGTCTAGCAACCAATTTGTTCTTCTTAATCCCTTCACCTTTTTCGCCCATTTCCCAAACCCCCTTCCCATCTGGCAACCAACAAAATGTTCTCTGTATCTATGAGAATGTTTCTGGCCTGTTCATTTTGTTTGTAGATTCCATTGTCGATAGATATGTATTCATTGCCCTTTTGTTTGTTCATATATTTTATCTTTTTCTTCAAAAAGACCCTTCAACATTTCATGTAATAACGGTTTGGTGGTGATGAACTCCTTTAACTTTTTCTTGTCTGGGAAACTCTTTATATGGCCATCGTTTCTAAATGACAGCTTTTCAGGATAGAATAATCTTGGTTGTAGGTTCTTGCTTTTCATCACTCTGAATATTTCTTGCCACTCCCTTCTGGCCTGCAAAGATTCTTTTGAGAAATCAACTGAGTCTTTTTTTTTTTGTTTTTTATCATCCTCACCTGAGGACATTTTTCCATTTTTTGTTTAGGTAGAGTGGGAGGGAGAGAGAGGAACAGAGAGAGAGAGAAACATCGATGTGAAAGGGACACATCGAGTGGTTGACACCCGCACAACCAACCAGGCCTGGGGAAAAACTGCAACCGAGGTACATGCCCTTAGTGGGAACCGAACCTGGGTCTCTGTGGACCACAGGCCGATGCTCTAACCGCTGAGCAAAACTGTCCAGGGCTCAACTGACAGCCTTATGGGAGCTTCTTTGGAGGTAACTAACTGCTTTTCTCTTGCTGCTTTTAAGATTCTCTCTTTGTCTTGAACCTTTTGCATTTGGATGATGATGTGTCTTGGTGTGGGCCTCTTGGGGTTCATCTTGTTTGGGACTCTCTGTGCTTCCTAGACTTGTATGTCTGTTTCCTTCATGAAGTTAGGGAAGTTTTCTGCCATTATTGTTTCAAATAGGTTTTCGATTTCTTGTTCTCGCTCTTCTCCTTCTGGCACCCCCAAGATCCGAGTGTTGGCACACTTGAAGTTGTCCCAGAGGCTCCTTACACTATCCTCATTTTTTTGCATTCTTTTTTCTTTTCGCTGTTCTGATTGGGTGTTTTTTGCTTCCTTATATTTCAAATTGATGGTTTGCTTCTTGGCTTTACATACTCTACTATTGAATCTGTGCAAATTATTCTGTATTTCCGTTAGTGCCTTCTTCATTTCTGACTGTGCATCCTTAATTTCTGACTGGTCCTTTTTAATGCTTTTGAGGCCCTCACTAAGTTCATTGAGCATACTTATAAGAAGTATTTTGAACTCAGTATCTGTTAGGTTGCTTATCTCCATTTCCCTTAGTTATTTCCCTGGAGTTTTGTTCTGTTCTTTTATTTGGGACCTGTTTCTTTGTATCCTCATTTTGGCTGCCTCCCTGTGTTTGTTTCTA